TTGTCACTCCAAATGGCTCTGCTTCATTCTTGTTCCCCCTAGCTTTTTTTAACTAAACACTATGCCACATGGGGTGGAATATCCCTTTGGTCCATTGGGGTCAGCTGTCCCAGCTGTGTTTCATCGCAGCTTCTTGTGCACCCCCAGATTGTTGACTGGCATGGCAGTGTGAGAAACAGGGAAAAAAAAAACAACATCTAATACCATATAGCCTGATTAGAGACTCAAAATCCCTGGAGGGTGAGTTCCAGGAATCAGATGCCCTGGATGCATAGGAGGATGTTCTACTAGATATTTTATGTAACACCAAAAATGATTTAACAACAAAGGAAGTGAAACATACAGCATCCTGTTTGAGGGGTGAAGGTTTCAGGATCTCCATGATGAAAGATGCATTAAGATAAATGAAGGCTTGAAAAATGTAAAATAATAGAAAAATACTAAAAAATAACAAGAGATGAGAAGTCATTGACAAAGGTTTTAGCCTGTCAGTTCTTGAGTTAACGGTCTTTGAAACCTTATAATAGTATTATATTGAGGATCTAATAAAACATAAGAGAAGTTTTAAAACCTGTAACATGGACCCAAACAAAACAAAAAACTTTTTTAAAATCAGTGGGGTTTTTTTAATTGTAACATATTCACTTTTGTATTGTCCCGAAGCATATGCTTCAGGTCAAAGCATTCCTTGTCTGTAATACATTGGAAAATAATTTCAGATCCTTGAAACTCTCTGGAACAATGCAAAGACAAGAAGTTAAAGGACAGCCATATTATTCAAGTTATGTATTCTGTCCTATTTAGTCACCAAATGGGACACTTTCCTCTACTTTACATCACTCCTTATTAGATTTCTCTATTCCATTTTATCCTCTCCATCTCCCTCCTTGCTTTTGTCTCCTGTCACAAAGCCGAAGTTCTGTGTTACCGGCTCATCTCTTTTCCATACCTACGTGTCTCCAGAAATGCAGGCCAAAACCAACAGATTTATCACAGCCTTAATGACAGCTGGCTGCATGCTGAGTGAATTCTTAAATTCCACAAAACTACTTTTCTTGCCAAAACATGTGGAGTTGCAGCAGTCAACATTTTATTGGGACCATTATCTCCAGATGAAGAATGACTCTGCTGGAAAAAATTATTTGGTATCAGCTATTGACCTATTTTTAGCCTCTTGTTTGGTGAAACTTCAGAAAATATAATTTGCCATATGTTCAGTGATGTTCTCCACATCTTAAATTCAATTTTTGCAAACCACATTTAAGCACTACCTCTTCCACAACTTTACACTTAGAATCAGAAGACATGGTAGGGTTTTTTATGAGAATGTGATTCTTCATATTTCTTTGGGTATATCTTTGTGCTTATGAAGATTGTAGAGCAGGCAGTACTTAAGTCTGAAATCTTCCTTTTGTTTACATGGGAAGATTTGTGCCGGCAACGGTATTGGAATCATCCCCTACTTCTGTCACTTATGAACTTCAAGCCTAGCATTGGGACAATGGTGTTCTCAGAGGCAGAAAAGTAGAGCAGGTCAGAAACATTCATTCTCCCCCACAAGTATTTATAGTGAAAACAAAACAAGATTACTTTAATCAAAAACATATACAGAAAATCTTAAGGGTTTGTCAAAAATAAGAGCTTCTAAGTGAAAACATTTTTTCCCCAAATGAAATCTAAACAAACTGTCAAATTTCAAATTGGATTAAAATAAATCAAAAGATTAAATCACATCTGTCTGGCTAAGTATTGGTATGGAATTATAGTCAGGTGCCTCATGATACTATGTCCCCCAAATCTGAACTTGTGTTTGGCCTACTTTTCCCATAATACAATTTCAGTTTTTCCTTAGGAAGTTTTCTGGGAAATGAAGTTGAGTTTTGCTGCCCTGAAAAGGCAGTTTCAACTATGTGAATTGGATAAATGTCACCTTTCTATTTAAAGAAGAAAAAGAAAACTCTTTTGCTAGAATAGTAAGGCTGGAGTTTTATTTTTCTAGTTGTTGGAGAAGTGTTCTTTGGTTCCTCTCTCATTACAGGTGGTCTGATTCAAACTTCACGTTCTTTCACAAAGCTGCCAAATAGAAGAAGTTGTTTTCTTGCAACATCATGGTCCATGTCATGGAGCAGAAGTGTACAAATGCTAGAGTGAAGCGAGAGAAGAACATTTGGGGTAGTTTCACACTGCTGAATGGTCTGACAAAGCTCACAATACAAATAGAGCTTCTGCAGCCTCTGTCATTTCTATCCCAGCTGTGCTCAGACTAAACTCTGTGTAACTGAAAGTCAAGCCTCTTGGCTATGATCACTTAAAACCCAGTTCCAATGTTCTTGTGTTTCCCCATTTTTGTACTGATGGCAAGCTGTTGTCTATCTGCTTCATCTTACTCTCATTGACTTGTTTGGCCTGCTTTTTTTCAGTTGGCCTCATTGCTATTTGAAATGCAAAACATTTAGATTGCTGATGATCTGTTTCTAGCAACATTAAAGAAGGAGACATAACACCATTTATTCACAAAATTGAGACCTGTATGTCACCCTTATTTTCAGGTGGCTCTTGATGAAAGCCTGTTGTCTCTACTGGTGCCATTTTTTTCAAATGACAGTGGCAGTTGCCTTTTGCAGCTCACTGTTCTTCAGAGAGTTTCTGATCCCTTACACAAAGGGTAAATGTGTAGATTGTTATAAATGTATAGATTGTTTCTGAGGCACCTCTGTTAATGTTAATCCATTGAAATGAGTTTCAAGATTACTACAAATTGTTTCATGGTTGTCTCATGGCTCAAAATTGAGTGAATAATATCACACTGTGTGAAACAGTGCCATAGTATACAAGGATCTAAATAGTCAGAAGAGGAAAAAGCAATTTGAGGAAAAAGGAGCATGTTTAATCACATTTCATTGAGTACTGAAATCAACGGAGTTGCTTTATAGAGCTTTCAAAGCACAAATACCAAGAATGTTGATCATTCAACCAGCTTTTTTTCAGTAAAAATTAGTAATCAAGGGTGTTTTTTCTATAGTTAAAGGAATCAACTTATTTAACTGAATGTGTTTTTTGGTTGAGTGTAGTACAGCTGAGATGGAGGATTTATTTGTTTTTATAGCAGGGTTAGATGAAGTTAGCTACTTCACTTAACCTGTTTCTCAGTAGCTGAAGGCTTTTCCTAATTTTACAGACTATATTTTCCTAATTTTATGGGTAACTTTAATTACAGAAAAGGTCATTGATTTAATGTAAAAAAATTTAAAATAATTAAACTTCCTCAGCATAAAAATAAAAAGCTATGTTTATTTTATAGTTGAAGAGTAGGTAGAGTGTTTTCTTTTGTTTGTTTTCTATAGACATTCAAAAAAACCAAAACTTGACTGTTATACTGCAATGTATTTCAAATAATCCATTTCCTACAATGCTACTAAATACTTAACAACTATTCTCATAATTTCCAAAGAAATTCAGTTTTTTATGGTCCTTTTGTGCTTACAGAACAATCTAATTCTCATGACCTATGAATTTAAGTGTTTATTTATATTCTCTGGTAAAGCATTTGCCAACTTTTAATGACTTAATTTGCCTCTGATTAGCTTACTCTGTAAGACTTCACTTGTAAGCAAAATGATATTTTTAATTCAAAATGCATACTAATATGATATAGATAATCACAGGTCTGGGGGGGGAAGTTAATCCAGCATGGACTTTTTTCCTTTCCCTGGTATCCAGATTTAGAGCTTAGTGAATATTATGAACAAACCTCTGCTTAGAAATTGTTTTAATTTGAAAACTTGAGAGACATAATCCCATACCTCTTCAGAATACATTTGCTGCTGAAATTCCATATTTAAGATTATGTTGTTCCTTTATTGGTTCCATTAATGTCTTTGAATAATGGCTTCCCATGTGGTAATCTAATTGTTGTTTGGAATAATTGGGAAATTGGCCCATTGTCATAGACTGGGTAGGAAATTGATAAAATAAGGGTAAAAATTAGTTCTATGTGGCATGGGAGTCTAACTAGGAATGTTGAGATAATGGAATTGGTTTTTTGATGATTGAAAACAAATGACATGTACGCAGTGAGTCCCGTTGAGCAGTTGCCGTGATTTAGGAATATTACTGCCCAACTCAGTGCCCCCACCAAGACTCTCCAAACCACACAGTGCTGTCTCTCACTGCCCCATTCTCCCCTTCCCAGCTGTGGTGGGATGGAGGGAATTATTAGAGGTAAGAAAGGCAAAGATCACAGGCTGAGATAAAAACAATTTGCTGGAAACAGCAGTGAGACAAGAAAATAAACAGTAACAGCAACAATGTTAATGATAGAGGGTACAGGAAAAGAAAGAATTCACACAGAAAACCTCCTCAATATTAGACAATATTGGATAGCTCCCTCTGCCATGTTTTCTTTTGAGAAAGAGTGTGCCTTTCCCCTGCCCCCTGCAATGATATGAGGTAGTACAGAATAACCTCATGATCCCCTCCCAGCTACTGAAAAAATTAACCCCAGCCAGAACCAGGACAGTAGTAGAACTTGCAGAAGCTCTAGTACATGGGATATTTAAAACTGAACATGACAGACAAGGAAAAATGGATTTTGGGGAATTAGTTTTTCACTGGCAAAGGGGTGGACTAGTGACCTACTATCTCATAAGCACCTTTAAGTCTGTTGGAATTCTATATGTCCTCTGGCCCCATCTGGACTTCTTTTGTGTCTAGCAATAGGAGATCATTATCCTGTGAAAATGCTTGACAGTAAATGCTTAATTTTCAGTCTTTCTTACTGGACAATTAAATTTCAGTATTTGTAGAGTCACATTGTGCCAACTTGTTTACTTGCAGTAGAGAGAAGGACAGAACTCAGAAATCAACTTGTCCCATGGATCACAAGGACATCTAAAACTGGCCAGCAGCACAGGGAGTTTAAAATGGTGGGAAATATGCAATGACTTTATTGATTTTTGACATTTTGAATTCTAATTATTTGCATTTTGTGTCTTTTACAGACCATCTGAAAGGAAAGATAATCCAGAGGCAGATACAGAGAGCTGCTCTAGGTAAGAGCGTAACATTTCAGACAGGATACAACAGGGACAAGCTCTCTCCCAGGGCTGAATCTGCTTGGGAGACAGGCTGTGTTTTCTATGACAGATTTTTTGCCACAGAATTTCTACAATAGTCCATGCCACAAAGAACATGTGAACTTTGCCTGAATTTTGACTCAAAAGGCATCTAATTTTATGTGTGGTGAGAAAAGTAATACACAATTCTTACAGATTTGGGAGTTTGGTTTCTGATTAGTCTAATCTGAATTCCCATTAACAGACACTGATTTGTCCTGAGGCTGAGCTAGCAGCCATGTTGCCACAATCTAACATTCTTTTTAATTTTTCTTGTTCCAAGGGGGGCTGAAGGCATATACAGTTAATTTCTCTCACATCTAGTTATTGAAATTGAGAAGTTATTCTCACTGTTTCTGTTGACACAACTGTAAAGCTAAAATTGTCTGTGTAAGTTGTTCACAAAAGTGTAAAGTCATCCAAATTTGGTTTAAGATGCTTTAAGCTGATTTCACTGACTTTGTACTGAAATGGCCTAGGAGTGTTCATAAGAGAATTCCACTCTGGGGACAGTAAACTTCAGCCAAAATTTGACAGAAAACCTCTGGGTCAATCAGTTTAGATCCCCCCTCATTTAGATCCATAGAAGAATCCCAAAATGTATCTTCATGAACCTACTTCACATAAAAGATGGAACTAACTTGGACCAGATTGCAGCTGATATGTGTATTTCTATGTATACACAACATAGAGGACATTTATCTCTTCATAAGAGAGAGAAAATTTGGGGACTATATTTTCTTCCAAAAGTCAGGTAAGTTACTTCAGAATAACAAAACTGTTTCTGTTTCTAGTTTACCCATACATCTCAAGCTTTGGTGATAATGTTATTGTTTCATACCTTTATCATTTTTTATTTTGATTTAAAAATCAGCACTAAAATAATTTTGTCTGTCAACAAAGCCAAGGAATCAAACTCAGTTGATTTTTATCAGGATGAGAAGGGGAAGGGAAGGAATTGCTGATCTCTTCTTCCTGTTATCCAGTGACAGGACACATGTGAAAGGTTCAAAGCTGCATCAGGGGAGGTTCAGATGTGATATTAGGAAAAGATGCTTTACCAAGAACAGACTTCCTTGGCAGGTGATCAGTGTCCTGTACCTGACTGTTTAAAAAGTATTTGAGCACCCTGTTTAATAGTAATATGCTTTCACTTTTGCTCAGCCCTGAAGAGGACTAGATGATGGCTGTGAGTCCTGTCCAACTCTTCCCCTTCCCTTCCCTCCTCTAAAGTTAAATTTAAAGGTGCTATCTTCAGAATAACATGGAATTATTTCTTTAATTCATTCTAGGTTTGAATACCATCTATTTAGTATTTTTTTAACATTCTTACAAGTTACATAAAGATAAATCATAGCAGTGCTGTTTATGAGAATTCCTTACTCAGTGTTTTGAAAAATGAACTAATATATTCTGAATATATGTTTCAATCTGAATGATAATATCTGGTCTTGTACATTGACTTTTTTACTACATAGAAAAATTATGTTTCAAATGATGTTTTCAATAACTAAGCTGTTTTTCATAACATAGGTAGGTATTATTTTTCATGTCCTTAGGAAATGCCATAGTAGTGACTTTACCAGCTATACATTCACAGTGTAAATATTCCATTAGCATTTCACCTCATAGCAGGCAACCTGTGTGTTTTTGCCTTTTTGTTTTGAGCATTGCTGTCTGCTTATTCTCATTGAGTCTGGAATGCACAAAGTATTTTCCAGTAGTTACATTATTATTTGAAATACTCTGGATATTTAAACTTAATATTTATTCTATGAGTTGGGGAGTATTGTTTGCCTGTCTGCCTTTCTGGATGAATGTTTTTTCAAGGAGTAACAGGTGCCAAGTCTCCCAGGAACTTCTTGATGATCAGAATGTCATCAAGATATTTTTAAACGAAAACTGTGTGGTCAAACGTCTAATAAGGGTCTTTTGAAATCCCAACATGAAATAAAACACACCATTGTTTCAACTAGAAACCACATTAAGTTAACATCTTCCATCTGCCTTTTTTTTCTTCCCATTAACTTAAAGCATTTTATGGTTAAAACTTTTCAAGAAACTATTCTAGTCTGATTTGAAAAAGTGTAGATCTGTTTCCCTTATGGCTGTGCTTAAGATGTGGATTTCTTTTTGAAGGAAAACACCACTACTCAGCCCATTGCTCTTAGCTATCTCTTTTAAAACACCATATGCTGGGAGTTAAAAAAGGACACAATTAGATGGGAGGTATCATCAGAGACAAGGGATGTTCAAAGTTTGTCAATACACTACCAGAAACATTGAATATTTTATGTAAATTTGCAAGGATTCATCTCAGTGTGCCTTTCATCTTTATTAACTGCAAAAAATACCTTTTTATGCAAATAAATAATTTTCGTTATCTTTATTAAAATCTTTCAGAGTAACACACTTAACTGCATTTTTAGGCAGGATCTAAAGTTCCTTTTGCATGCTTAACTGCACTTCAGTAGTATTTAAAATGAAATAATGTGCACACTGCCTAAGTATTGACAGCAAAAACACTGGGTCACAAACACACTTCAGGGTGGAAAAGATGGGAGAAAATAATGGAAAGAAAAGCTTTCCCTGGAGCTTGCAGTGTTTTAGAAGAAAAGTTGATGTTTTATTTTATTCCAGTGAAGCATTATCTTATGATGTTTTAAAGTAGTATTTTTGTAAAATGCAGAGCCTGATGGCAAAACTTTTTGCTTCTGAGGAGGTTTGTTAGGAGCAAATTATTGTCCAACTCTGTTGTATTTGTAAAGCTACTTGAATTGAAAAAACAAAAAAAGAACACTTGGATCTTTGTAAGGAATTTTCATCCCTTGTACAGATTTCAGTATTAAGGCACAGTTTTATCAATATTTTATTAAAAAACTTCAACCAAACCAAATAAGAAAACCACTTGTTTTTCTAGGTTTTGTAACTTGAAATTTATAAATAAGATTCCATATTTCTCATATTATTCAAAGAGCTGTTCTCCAGTTCTTTTTAAGCAAAATTCCCTTGAAAAACTGATTCCTCATAAAAAATAAAATGACGAGGTGCTTCAGAAACAACAGATATGTTTCAATCCCTGAAAATACATACCAGCACTTGATTTGGTGTGGCAAATGCCTGCGAGCAAAGATTTCGGCATGTTATTTTTATATTTGGAATTGTAACACATATTTGGTTTTAAGCAAAGAGAGGGAAATTCCTGCTTATCTTTCTTGCCTTTACAGCTTTATCTGTACCATCTTTTCCTACATTTTCAAAGCTAGATGCCTGTTCTAAAGATGTTAGTATCAGTCATTCCTTTTTCATTCCTTGCTGTGTATTTCTTTATAGCATGTTTCATTCTGCTTACTCACCTTTCCTTGTCTAGAAGTGAATGACCATGATCAGCACAGGGGACAGACAGTGCTGTATAATGAATGCATCAGGGTACTCCTGCAGGAATATTCCAGCCAATCTTTGGAAAGTATTTCAAGCAATGATTCCTCCAATGCTTTGATGCTGCCACTACCATATATCCAACATCAAGATGCAAATATGTTGTCTGACAAAATTCTGCATATCAGAAAAGTTACAAAGGAGAACTGCTGCTTTTGGCTCTCCAGTGTCAGATCACAGAATGATTTGAGTTGGAAAGGAGGTTTAATCCTCCAGCCATGGGGAGCGACATTTTTCACTATATTAGGTTGCTCAAAGTTTCATCCAACCCATCATTGAAGTATTCCAATGTGGCTCATGCCACTAGAAATGCTGGTCCGCCATGGTTTGTATCTGCTCTGGATATATGTTCAGGAAATGTACGGTAGTCCTCTCTGCAACCCTTGCAGCCTCTCCTAGACATATATAACATTAATTAGTCCAATAATTATGACTGTCTTGCATTCATCTGCTATGATCTGTGTGAATGGAAAGCACATAGCACTTCCAAACTGCTGGTTTGCATCAGAGTTAATCTGTTCTTTAAATAAATCCATATTTAAATAAAATGAACTTGGTTTCTTTCACTGCTTTGCATCTTGTAACTGAGATGATATTTAACTTTTTTCATATGAGGCAGAAGAGTCTTGATCTCTACTAATGCCATGAAATGAAGAGACACAAGTGTTTTCAATCACAAAATGACAGAAGCTGAGGAAACTGGCAGCTTGTGTTTTCCCACACAAATCCAGCATAGTCCATGGAGAATAATAGATGGCCTGTTTTAAGACCATCATGAAAACTGATATCTTATGTATGGGCTAAATAAAGCACTTTAGAGAAATAATCTGAAGTCCATAATTTCAAGGAGGTTGTGGTTTGTTTTTTTGCTTTGTTGGGTTTCAGGTTTTGTTGGGGGTTTGTTTGTTTGTTTGTTTTTTGAAAGAGATAAGGCAATGTTCCCAGTACTACCAGGCATCCAAGAGCTAAAATATGCTAGAGACCAGTGTAGTCAATTTACAATAGCCTCAGAATAAGGGAAAGATTTCTCTTAGGAATACAAAATTTTCACGATTTTTCTGTGTGTTATGTTCTTCCGTACATTTGCGCTTGAAATGTCAAACAGCAGTGGTGGTTTTGTAGAAGTTTTTGTGCATGCAGCACACTGATTTTTATTCCTAGGGTGACCTCTAGTGGCATCAAGGCATTTTCTTTAGAGATGAATTTAATTTCTTTAGTCTGTTTCAAAGGAAATAGGAATCGTGAGTGACAGAAAGCTGGTAAGGTTGTGCTTGCTAAAAGGGACATTTATTTTTCATTATTGTTAAGACAAAGATACCAATATCACAACTGGATGAAAATTCAAAATCAGTACCGCTTTGCCTTTATTAACAAGTTTTACTCTGCCAAAGATACAGATACTTTTGAATTTGCTTTGTACAATTATTGAAATATATTAGATACTTTTAGAAATATTTACCAAAGTGGTTTTTAATCAAATCCTTGCAACACTATAGTGA